AAATGTCAATTTTGAGAAATAAAATTGAGTGTGGGACATATTAAGTACATATTAAGTACATGTTAAATACAGTTTGGATGAATCAGGTTATCACCACAATCATCTACATTATATTTATAACTTTTTAGTAATTCATTCATGTGAACCTTGTAGTTTTTTATGCACAGAGAAAGAAATGCCATTTTAAAATACTGATTGGCTTAATATGCATTTCAAGGAGAAAGAGAAAAATGGCTTTCTAAGTAAGAAAATATATTACCTAAGGAAGAAGAGACAGAAGGAACACAGTGAAAAATAAACCTGTACCTCCATATACCTGTGCCATAAAATCTGTAAGGCATGAGTCTTAGAGGCATACTAACTATTCCAGATTACTAGGATACTATTCCTAATGCATCAATTGTTATACTACAAAGGCAACTGACATGGAACTGATGGAGGCAGCTGCTTTCCATAATTTAAATATACTTAGTGGAGTGAAAGATGATTGGTTACTGCCTTTCTCCTTTTATGGAGGTGACAGTTTGGGTGGTGATACTCCACTTAGTTCTGATGATATTTCTTTTCTTTTTTTTTAATGTTTATTTATTTTGAGAGAGAGAGAAAGAGGTTGAGCAGAGGAGGGGCAGAGAGAAAGGGAGAGAGAGAATCCCAAGCAGGCTCCATGCTGTCAGCACAGAGCCTGATGCAGGGCTTAAACTCACAGACCATGAGATCATGACCTGAGCCAAAGTCAAGAGTTGGACGCTTAACCGACTGAGCCACCCAGGTGCTCCTCTAATGATATTTCTCAATGTCCTTAGTCCATGTGATCCAGAGGAACACTCAGAACCTGGGATATTTACCACAAATATTTTCTTCGAGCCATCTTACAATAGGGAAAGATAAAACTAAATGGGAATCAAATGTTATAAAAGCTAGATTTTTAAAAAGTATTTAAATGCAACTAGGTTCTCTATGTGAAATGTTTCTGCTTAAAATACAAAAGTGCATCATACAGGTATAGAATATGTATGACTTTGGCTTGTGTGTACCTTTGTCTATTGTTCTATTTATTTTTCTATGTAAACTCAGCAACTTTGGAATTAATCTATTATATTCCCATGTGGTATTTTTTTTTAATCTGTAGGCAAAGAGAGCTACTGACATTTTTTTCAAGTCTTTGTATTAATGTATTATGTGGAACTTGCCAGCCTCAAGTGAGTTATGAAGTACTTATTGAGTGAATGGAAGAGAATGTCATATCTCATAGCAGCTCTTCACTATTCTATTTATATCTCTAGAGGTTTAATTTATAATTCAGGAAATTCACTCATCTATTGTAAGACTAACAAGAAAAAAAGCTCTTACCCCTGAGTTCTCACCTTTTTCATGCCTTGCTTGCCTTGCAAGGTGAATGTGTATGTTGGGAGTCTGGGGAATGGAGGGCAGAAGGAGAGAAAGGAGGGGGTGGGGGCAGAATTTACAATTCCTTAAGAAAGTTCTGTAAGTACCTTAGCTTTATGGGAAAACAGTCCTTTCAGCAGCTGCATTTACATTCTCTGAAACAAGACACACTAGAAGACACAGTAAGTATTAGAAATGTGAAGTTCTTATGTAGTTTGACTCTCTAATTATGTAGGTCATAACATAAATTTGTTAAAACAGTTCTTTGCTTATTCATTTGGTTATTTGCTTATTCATTGAAGCAAAATGGTAGTAAGAAAGCTTAAAACTGCTTGTTGTTGGCGGGAGTAGGGTGGGGAACAGAGGAGTGCAGTTGGGTCTCTCACGTGTCCTGCTAAGTCACGTCAACTGAGGGACTTCTCTGCAGCCAAACAATACCAAATAGCTCTTGTGGTATTAATATAAGAGCACTGGACAGGCTGTCGGAAGGACTGGTATCAAAGCTTAGATTTGCCCACCAGCACCGTGACCCAAATACATGGGTCAGCCTCTTCGCACATCAGTGCTTTTCTTTTTTCTTCTTTTTTTTTTTTTAACATTTTATTTATTTTTGAGACAGGGAGAGCCAGAGCATGAACAGGGGAGGGGCAGAGAGAGAGGGAGACACAGAATCTGAAACAGGCTCCAGGCTCCGAGCCATCAGCCCAGAGCCCGACGCGGGGCTCGAACTTATGGACGGCGAGATCATGACCTGAGCTGAAGTCGGCCGCTTAACCGACTGCGCCACCCAGGCGCCCCACATCAGTGCTTTTCAAATGATCACATTAACCAGGACAGTCTTTGACTTCCTTTTTTAGCTCTCACACGTGTGAAGTCAATATAGCATAATTCAGCTATTTATTTCATAAATGCATTTGTTTTAATCAGTTTCATGTGGAGTCACATACTAATTTTTTGTCATTGTCACAGTTGTCTTTCTCAGAAGTTATTTATATTTAATAAGCCTGACCAAAAATAATACCTTTTTAAAATTCTGTCAGAAAGATAATTCTCTCTATATTCCCAATTCTTCCAGCTCTCCTTGTAAAAGTATAATGCACGTCAGCCCATAGACCCTTCTGTTACTATGCCAAATCTGAGGAACTAATGGGCCCTGTCACAAGGTTTCCTATTTTCTTCACATTTTGAGTGAGTTTTCCCCTGTCAGCAAGCATTAGATCTGATACAGCAACTTTCTTGGTTGAATTCCATACTTCCTGAGTCATGAAATTATCCTTTATATTCTTTAAAGGCCACTTTCATGCTGTAGATTAACGTGTATACTGTCCTTCATATTCATAGAGGGGATATCTGACAGCTGTGATTTCCGTGACTGTGTAAGGTGGAATCTAAACAAAAATGAGGAGACCGGCCATCTCTCCATCCTAAATCCATGCAGTTGCCTTCCTATTCAGAGAATTTATTGGTGTTTTGCATTTCTTGCTTCACAGATGAATCACGGTTTTTCTCAAAATAGGCCACTGTATCTTTTATTCTTTTTCTCAAATTGGGGTTAAGCCATCCACCACTTTGCAGAAGATGCTAGATTATATGCTTTTTAAGAAAAAAGAGCATTGCTTATTTATTTCTGTATCTCCAGGGCCAGAACACAATAGAAACTCAATAAATGCTTGTCAGATGGCTGATAGCCAGTGTATCTTATCATCTCAATTTATGCTTCATGTAACAGAAAATGACATTGTTATTCTCTCCATGAGAAAGATGTTTAAATTTAATTATTGAGCTTTTAAATCAAAGAATTTATCACTTTACTTCAAAATTACTGCCAAATTCTCATTTTTAAGTGTTTGCTGCCTCCAGTCCATACAGCATGTGACTCTTAATCTTGGGGTCATGAGTTTGAGCCCCACGTTGAGTGTAGAGATTACTTTAAAAAAATGTTTTCTGCCTCATATGACACCATAGAATTTATCTGCCTCTCACAATACCACATGAGCCAAATATTGGGGTAATGTTCTCCTCACTAACACTCCCATCCAAAGCAATGCATGACTCACATTATTTTAAGAGATTGTCAAAAATATGTCCCTTTATACTCATTTTGAGTCCTGATGAATTCCAACCGAAAGGCAAATCCCCAGTTTCCCCCTTTATTTTTTTCTGTTTATTCATGAGCTGTGAAATCTACTACCTTGTCAGACTTTAGATGACATCATTTTGTATAAACAAAGATATCTCTGTTGTATTTTACCCACACTAGTTTAAATAGATTTTGTCCTTGTATTTGTAACTCTCTAATATGTAAAATCTGGGGCAATTTTGACTTCTAATACTGGCCTTTGATCTTTTATACTTACTCACCAGATTTCTTTGCCCTCTGCTGTTTTAACAAATGGGACAGAGTCCATTAACTTTGCTCTTTGGGAATTACCATATGTTTTCATTACTGTGTACTAATATATTTAGGATGTTAAGTAGCTTCAATGGAAGAGTGAATTTCATGATCTAATAATCAATGAAATCATGTCTTAGACACCTTTAAGTGCTTCAGCTGTCTTCCTGGTATCAGTCCATTACCTCCTACACTCCCCACCTAGGTAAACTAGAAGAAAAATGAAGGCAAGAAGATGATAGAGTTAAAAAGCCAACATTTTGTGGACAAATGTGAGGATACCTTTCTCTCAATCATGTTTTTTTTTTTTTTTTCCATCCTTCATTCTGATGCCTGTGCTCCCTTGAAGTGAGGTTTTCAATTGTATTCTTCACTCTTGCATTTTTCCCTCTCTCTTCACACAGTTGTTGGTGCTCTAACTGTTCTCCTGGGAAAAGTAGTGACGGGAAACATGAGTTGAAAGGTTTAAGCTTATTTCTGTGGAATGTTTATTTTTACTGGGCACTGTGCTAGGTGCAGGAGATAAAATGAGGACAAGAACAAAACAGCACTGTCCTAGCCTTCACGAAGTTCACACTCTAATGGGTGACCTGGAACAGTAAGTAGACAATTGTAGCACAACTGGTAAAAACCATGACAGAGCTGGGGATACGAAGTACAAAGGAGAGAAACCTGTAGGGAAGGATGAGGTGGAGGTCAAGGAAGGCTTCCCAGAGGAGGTTCTAGCTCAGCTGAGTTTATAGGAAGGTTGCGTATAGCCAGAAAAGAGAGGTGTTCCTTTGAGGTGCAAGGAATGCCTTGAACAGAAGGAAATTGGTGAGAAACAGCTTGAGTTCAGAGGACTATAGGTTATTTCAGGTTGCTCAGAATGAAATATGAACCACCGTCTACCTCTCCTGGTTGTATCTTTTACTTTATGACTGAACTAGAATGAACAGAGAAAATCATGCAAACTAGAGAGAATGAAGCAAATCATTTTCTGATCACCTAAAAACTAAAACCCAAATTGTATACACTAAACTTACCAATTTATCACCAACTGGAGACTAAATGCCCACAAATATTATCTTTATGTCCTAGTCTGACATCTATAATAGTTTTTCTTATTCTTGGCCTTAGATTGAAGATGGAGGGCCAAGAGCTTATGGGTTTGACTAGAGAAGCAGCATTTTGTTCAAGATAGAAAATATCCTATTTTCTATTCCATTTTTTCTGTTTCTCCTTTAAAAACAACACAAACAATAACATAAGTTAGATTTTATAACAGATCTAGAGAAAATTAATGAAACATTCTTAGGAGTTCATTTTTTTAACAACTTATTTCATCTTTATTATTTGTAAACAGATCTCTCTTTGCTGTGTTTTCTGTGTTCCTGTCAGGTCTCCTTACTGTCTCTTTTCAATAACCATGTTCAGGATGGTGTTTTAGTGATTTCTATTTAGGTTTTTCAGTTCTCATCCAGTCTTAAAAAGAGCCAACCTACATTTTGGATGTATATAAATCTAAGATATTTCCAAGTACAAATGAGGGAATGTCAGTATCTAATTGGATTACACAGACTTATCTTTAGTAAGTATAATGTAGCATTTGGAGAACAGGCAATGCATGTACATTCAGCTGAATAATTAAACTATTAAACTGCATAGTTAAAAGCAACAGAATGAATTCTCTACAAGAATCTGTAGGACATTAAAATAATGATTTTTTTTTAATGTTTATTTATTTTTGAGACAGAGAGAGACAGAGCATGAACGGGGGAGGGGCAGAGAGAGAGGGAGACACAGAATCAGAAGCAGGCTCCAGGCTCTGAGCCATTCAGCCCAGAGCCCGACGCGGGGCTCAAACTCACGGACCGCGAGATCGTGACCCGGGCTGAAGTCGGACGCTTAACCGACTGAGCCACCCAGGCGCCCCAAAATAATGATTTTTTTAAGGCTTAAAGCCAATAAAGTCAGATTCCATTTAAATATGTGACTCCTACCACCTCCTGAATGCAAGAAAGTTCATGAGGATAATCACATATGAGCTTCCACTTGAGAAATATATTAAAGACAACCAGAGGAAGTGTTTGGTTTTTTGATAACTCCTTTGTCCCTAAATCTAAATTTGCAAAGTTTCTTGTCTATCCACTGACACCCCTAACACAGAAAAAGGAAAAAAACAAATTCCTATGGTATCTTTCTGGTTTATCCTTTCTGCCCCAGTTCTCTTGAACAGCCATGCTGTTTTGTTTTTAATGTGTCGTCTATGTGTTGGCTCTGTTGAACATTTCTTTGGCGTCTTTACTTTGATAATTCAGAATTGGGACAGCTTGGCTTTCACAATTTCTTAGCAAGATACCTTGTTAAAGAAGCGCTGCTATGGTGTCTGAGAGAAAACAATATAGAAATTCGAGTTGTGCTGCAATTTGGTGTGGGGGGGTGGGGGGGGATCTGCCATCTACTTTCTGTTCCTGTGCTCACCATAGAGAGTGGACTTCAAAGAAATGTAACAACATCTGTACCAACTTAGAACTTTACTCTTAAGTCATCTCAAGACCATGATGTAGTCCAAAATATCTCTGCTACTTTTCTCTTGGTAGAATCAGTTACATGATATTTTTAGCAATTGTTTTGGCAAAAGCAGTCAAAAAAATGAAGAGCATACACACACACAGGGGTCTCTTTAAAGAATTTATAATAGATGTTAGATAGTGTTCTGACAGGCCTATTGTATGGTCAGAAATGCATCTCCTACATAAAGAAAAACTTGGCATCAATGATGAGCCAGAGCTGAAAGTGATGGACTCATTCACACAGCTGGAATGGGTATGCAGAATTGTTGGAATTGAATGTCTTCTATAAGGAAGAAACATTAAAACAAGGTTACACAAGCATTCATAATTTATGATCCATTGTTCAGTATTTGGTGCATGAATACAATATGCCTTTGTTTTATATGAAGATGACAAAATCTCCCCATTATCAACACAGTAAGAATTTTGAGTTAAGAACATCCTATCTGGTCTTTCTTGTAACCAGTGCAATACATTTGCATAGCAGTAAAAATGTTAGGCCATATTTTTTTTTCATTTTTTAAGTCATACTCCATTTTATGATATTTTAAGATACCGAATATATGTTCTTGCTTTATACATAGTAGGTGTTTAATAAGAAATGCTGCTGAATGAAACTGGGTTGTAAGGTGGACCCCACTATAGCTACATTGAGATCCTGATATAGTACTAATGTTTGCAGATCTATGAATTTCAAAAGATCAGAACCTGTAACATGAAAGTTAGTTGGGAGATATAATTGAGATTGATCAAGTTGCCTGAGTTTTTGTTTTAAATTTGTCCCAAGCGTTTTCTTTAAAAACAGTAGCATTCCCACAGAGTCCTTGTTTGATATGTACCAGATGGTCAGAGGAGAGTTCTAGAACTCATTAATCAAACTGCCCTTGACTTCTGCTTAAGCCATTTCAGTGAAGGTTGATACTTAAACACACTGAAGAGCATTAAAATAAAAACAATAAAATCAAAAGTGGAAAGGCTACTTTTGGGATAACTGAGGAAATGAAGCATTTTATGTTTTGTATCTTAATTCAAATTCTCCAAAAAATAACTATTCTTTACTGTTTATAAAAGACAAGAAAAATGAAGGATTCTTAACCAGAGTTTGGGAAATACAAAAATTCTGTATAATCTCGAAAAAACAAAACAAAACAGAGGTTTAAAAGAAGCACATAAACTGAGTATACACAAACTAAGTAATTGAATATTTACTTAGGTTACTAAGGACAATTTTGGACATTTCAGAGGTTGAGTTTTTGTCTTACTATGAAAGAATGCATATATATTTCTGATCATGTTAGCTATATTAGAATTCATGAGATCCCATAAATGGTTTAACCTTACTGATACTATGTTGAATTCAATACATACTTCCTTTTCTTCTCAAACTCTAGAGATGGAATTGAGGTTGTAGTAAAATTCTTACATCTTTGAAACATTGTCACTTTAAAAATTAATGACATAGGGGGAAGGGAAAAAAAAGAGAGAGGGAAGCAAACTATAAGAGACTCTTAACTACAGGGGCGCCGGGGTGGCTCAGTCAGTTAAGCGTCCAACTTCGGCTCAGGTCACCATCTCACGGTTTGTGGGTTCCAGCCCCGCGTCGGACTCTGTGCTGACAGTTTGGAGCCTGGAGCCTGTTTCGGATTCTGTGGCTCCCTCTTTCTCTCTATGTCCCTCCACCACTCATGCTTTATCTCTCTTTCTCTCAAAAATAAATAAACATTAAAAAAAATTAATTTAAAAAAAAGAGACTCTTAACAAAGGGCTGATGGAGGGAGGTGAGTGGGGACGGACTAAATGGGTGATGGATATTAAGGAGGGCACTTGCGATGAGCACTGAGAATTATATGTGATGAATAACTAAATTCTACACCTGAAACAAATTTGACCCTATATCTTAACTAACTAGAATTTAAATGAAAACTTGAAAAAAGAAGAAAAAGAAAATGGAATATTATCATTTCTTTTATAGGCTCACTTATATTTCAGATGAAAGAAAATATATCTGATGAGGCCCAATCTACAAAATATATAAAGAAATCATAAAATTCAATAGCAAAAAAAAAAATCTGATTAAAAAATGGGCAGAGAATATGAATAAACACTTTCCCAAAGAAGACATAAAGATGGCTAACAGGTACATGAAAAGATATTCAATATTACTGATCATCAGGGAAATGCAAATCAAAATCATAAAGAACTATTACCTCACACCTATTAGAATGGCAATTATCAAAAAAAAAAAAAAAAGAAATAACAAGTGTTGGAAAGAATGTGTAGAGAAAAGGGAACCCTTGTTCTCTGTTAGTAGGATTGTAAATGGGTGTAGGTGCTGTGGAAAACAGTATTGAGGTTCCTAAAAAAATTAAAAATAGAATTACCATACTATCCAGTAATTTTGCTTCTGGGAATATATCCAAAGGAAATTAAAACATTAACTTGAGAAGGTATCTGCACCAACATGTTCATAGCAGCATTGTTTATAATAGCCAAGACATGGAAATAATTTAAGTGTCCACTAGCAGATGAATAGATAAAGAAAATGTGATATTGGTCTATCAATTGATTAATTGATCCATCAATAGATATCTATATATATAATGGAATATTACTCAGCCATAAAAAAAGAATGAAATCTTGTCATTTGTGACATCATGAATGGACCTTGAGGGAATTACACTAAGTGAGATAAGTCAGACCAAGAAAGATAAATATCATATGACCTCTTTTATATGTGTAATCTAGTAAAAAAACAAACAAACAAACAAACAAACAAACAAAAAACAAGCTAATGGATACAGAGAACAGATTAGTTGTTGCCAGAGCTAGGGGTGGCTGTGGGTGAAATGGGTGAAAGGAGTCAAAAGGTACACTTTTCCAGTTATAAAATAAGTAAGTCTTAGGGATATAATATACAACATGGTGACTATAGTTAATAATACTGTAGTTTAAAGTTATTAAAAGAGTACGCCTTAAAAGTTCTCATCACAAGAAAAAAATTATAGCTATGATGGTGATGTCAACTAGACTTATTGTGGTGATCATTCTGCAGTACAGTATGTAAATATTGAATCATTACATTGTACACCTGAAACTAATATAATGTTATATGTCAATTATACTTCAATAAGAAAGAAAATAAATAAAATTAATTTGATATATGGATTTGTGACATAATCTAATTGATAAAACTTATAGATAATGTTTATGTTAAAAATATCATCTCTTCAGGCATATAACTCTAGATTTTATTTTAATTTTTTTTTAACTGGGCATACAACTCTAGATTTTAAATATTTTCTCTCAACATATTGGAAATATTCCACTATATTCTGGCTTCTATTGGTGTTTTTGAAAAGTGACCACTTTGGCTAATTCTTAGTAGTGGGTAGGTAGGTATACTAGAAGATTTGAATCTAGTTGTTGAAGAATGGGATCTTTGAAATCAAGGTTTTTGATATATCATCAATTCTGACAATGATAATGTATAGACTATGCCTCTGAGAATGGATGATTGCAGAGGAATGGATGAATAGATCCTCATTTTAATGTTCAAAAAGCTGTTATATATTTACCCAAGTCGTGAATGAGATACAGTCTTAGGGAGCCCTAAATTTTGAAAGGAATTTTACCTTATATATTGAGTAGTCTTGGCCCACGTAACCTGTGCTCCATTTCAATATCAAATTTTGTTTTTAATCAGTTTTATTAATAAACTGGAGCCAAATAACCATAAATATTTGACTGATGATTGACTTGATAATATATTGACCATTAAACTTTGGTGTATAAGTGAAACAAAGGCATTCAATGCTAAACAGCAGTGGCAATCAATTTCTGACCTGAAATAAATGGCTTGGGAGTGTGGTAGATATACTGGCCTCATGAAAAAAGTATCAAGCATTATCTTAATCTCTGGCCCTCCATTTTTCCCCTAAATCTATTAAAATCCTGGATGGCATAATCTTGTATTTCTTCCCTAATTACTTTCCATCCACAAATACAGTTTTTTCAGAGCCTCCTTTTCTTGTTTCTCACAATATATAATGTTAGGAAAGTATTTTATTGACTCATCGGCACTAAAGTATACGTAATATTTGAATTGTACTAGAGCTTAATCCAAGGAACCTTTCTGGCAATTAAGAAATAAACCATTTTTAGTAGTAGGGCCATTTGAAACCTCAGAAATAACATGTCAGTTGTCATCTACTGTATAAGTGAGCAAAGTTGACTAACAATGATCAGAAAAAATTCAGAAATATATTTTTCGTGTGTATTATATGTAAGTACATATATTTTACGTATATTTATAAATACATATGCTTTAAGAAAATCTTTGGAAGAGAAAGAAATTAATAGGTGGTAAATTAGAGAACCACAATAGCCACATTTATGAATTGGAATTTGATGTATTATTTTTTAATTTAATAACAACTTTATATCTCAGAAGCTACTGAGGAAAACAGAAGAACGAAATTGTTAGAAATTCAAATGCACTAATGAATTATGATAAAACCAAATTTTGATTAAACAAATAATTAGAGTGGTACAATGATTAATAATTATGTTAATTGATCTTTATCTAATGTGCATGTATTTATAATTTAACTACTAACCTTTTATTTTTTTTCTTCCCTCCCAGTGTTAAAGAACCCAGTGTGTAAATTATATAGATTTCCTACATCTGACAATAAGTGGATGCGAATCCGGGAGCAGATGTCAGAGAGCATACTTTCTTTTCATATTCCTAAGGAATTGATTTCTCTTCACATAAAAGAAGACTTGTGTAGGTAAGAGAAAATAATTTATGATTATCTTTCACATTATTTTTTCTACAAAACATTTTTTCTCAAAGTATGATTATAACACAAAAATCTAGACTTTTACTGCCCAGCCATTAGCCCTGTATGGCTGTTAATCATTTGAAATGCTACTAGTCCAATTAAAAATGTTCTTTAAGTGTAAAATACACACAAGATTTTGAATTCTTATCACACAAATATAAAAAGGCCTATTTTATAATGAAATTACTAAAATTTGGGGTATATGGAGGTTAAATAAAATATTAACTTCCCTTGCTTTTTTAACTTTTAAATTATGACTACTAGAAACTTTAAACTTACATATATGACTCTCACTTATTGCTTCTATTTATTTCTATTATATAGTTGGTGTGTATCTAGTAATCTGAACTTTGACCTTACTAATAATCCTTTTGTCTTTACCTCATCTGCTTATGATTACTGTTTCTGTAAGAAATGCCTCCTGGGCTCTTTGGACTACTCACCTGTAACAAGGCTTTCAGATATTTGTTGGTCTAAAAATTCTTTTAGATGATTCATAAAGTATGCTATATTAATGGATGGCGTTGTTATCTAGCAAAATTAAATCTATTGCCATAGTAAAACAGAAAGATCTGGGAACTGTTTGTTAATAAGAATATCTCTGAGCCATGACAGATCAAACAATTTGTTTTTCTGCCTTATAAACCTCTAGTGACTTTAAAAATGCTGAATACTACATTATACTAAGCACTGTTAAGGGCCTACATTTCAGAAAATTAGCAGATACTTTTGTAACACTTGTAATTGCTGAAATACATACATAAGTGTGAAATGTCTAAAATTTGGATTTCTGGCCTATGTTCACATTAATACACCAAGTTACTTAATAGTAGGTACCCTTTTGGTAGATTCTACCGTTCCCAAGGATATCATCTTGATCTAAAACAGTGAGCAAACAATGTACAAAGCAGGTCAAACCTGGCAATATTGACAGTATATTTTAGAATAGGAATGACCACACAGATACTATATTTCTATGTGAGGAATAAGTAAAAGAAAAAACACACAGCCAAGATTTTAGAGAAAATCAGATAGGAAATTGGGTTGTAAGGAAACAACCTGGACTCAGGGAAATAAATATTGAAAGAGGGACAAGGAGATATATATTTGAGAGTAGGAGAGTGAAGATAATCAGACCACAAAAATCAGACAACAGATATTGACTTGGGTCAAGAGAAGCTGTAACATGTTCAGGAAACTAAGCAGACTACTTATAAGAGCCAGCGGCAAGAATGAATTAATGTAAGCCAAATTATTCAATATCATCCTTATCTATAGCTAGTACTAAGAGTATGTAATGAAAACAACAAATTCCTAGGAAGGATAAACAAGTTTATAAGAGTTTGGATCTTCAAAGTCATAAAAGAATTCTCATCCTCAGCATTGTTGTATTCTAGATTATTGAACACTAAGAATTATTCCCACTAGTGTTATGTAAAGATCACATTTCATATGGAAGTTTTATAGAGAATAACTGTTCCTCACAGGGATTATAGAATAAGGAAGGACTCCATAAACAAGCATGAGTTAGAGGTCATAGCACGTTTATTTCAGCTGAGAACCACAGAAGAGGAGTTGCCAGAGGTGGCAGATTTAAAAAAAAATAGAGTTAGGCCTTGCCCTAAAAATGGCCCCTGAAAATTCCATCTAAGTTAGCCAGTCCTAAATTCCCACTAAAATATCTGTATAATGCCAGTACCTTTTGGCCTGTAGGGTTTCTGTTGAAAAATCTGCTGATAGCCTTATGAGGTTTCCTGTATATGTAACTATTCTGGATGCTTTTAAAATTCTTTCTTTATCACTGATTTTTGCCATTTTAATTACTATGTGTCTTGGTGAGGACCTCCTTGGGTAAATTTTGCTGTGGGATCTCTGTGCCTCCTGGGTCTGGGTTTCTGTTTCCTTCCCCAAATTCAGGAAGCTTTCAGCTATTAGTTCTTCAAAATTTTTCTGCCTTTTTTTTTTTTTTTAATCTCTCTTCTTCTTCTGAGGTCCCCATAATCCAATAGTCCCATTAGTGGGCACTTACCCAAAGAATACAAAACAACTAATTCAAAGGAATACATGCATGCCTATGTTTATTGCAGTATTATTTACAATAGCCAAATTATGTAAGCAATCTAAATGCCCATTAGTAGGTGATATATATATATATATATATATATATATATATATATATATATATATATCAGAATATTATTCAGCCATAAACAAGAATAAAACCTTGTCATTTGCAACAACATGGATGGATCTAGAAAATATAATGCAAAGTGAAATAAACCAGTCAGCAGAAGACAAATACCGTATGATTTCACTCATATGTGGAGTTTAAGAAACAAAGCAAATGGACAAAGAAAACAAAAAGACAAACTGAAAAACAAACTCTTAAATATAGAGAACCAACAGATGGTTACCAGAAAGGAGGGATTGGTGATGGGTGATAAAGGTCAGGTGATTAAGAGTACACTTATTGTGATGAGCACTGAGTAATGTATGGAATTGTTGAAGTACTATATTGTACGCCTAAAATTAGTAGAACACTGTATGTTAACTACACTGGAATTAAAATTTTTAAAAATAGGGGTGCCTGGGTGGCTCAGTCGGTTAAGCGGCCGACTTCGGCTCAGGTCATGATCTCACACTCCGTGAGTTCGAACCCCGCGTCGGGCTCTGTGCTGACAGCTCAGAGCCTGGAGCCTGTTTCAGATTCTGTGCCTCCTTCTCTCTCTGACCCTTCACTGTTCATGTTCTGTCTGTCTCTGTCTCAAAAATAAATAAACATTAAAAAAAAAATTTTTTTAATTAAAAAACTAATCTATAAAGACACAAAAAATAGAAAATTATGACCTTTCACAAAACATGGAAATTGATTAGCATACCACAATATTAAAATTTAAAAAATAATAATACATTATTATTATACAATGTACTGTTTATAACATGATCACTAATTATTAGGCTAATATTTTAAGGTTTAGCATCTTAGTGGATGGACCACTAATGCTGTTTATCTAAAAATACTGCAACATAATAGGAAAGAAAATGAAAAGACCCCTACTATTGTTCCAGTCTGTCTTTCTTCATTAGTTTAGAGACCCCTTAAAGGTTGATCAGCTGACCTTCTGCATGTCTACTACTTGTGAATCTTCCACAGTGCTACCTTTAACCCCTATCTTTTCTTCACTCCAGTTAATATCTCTCTATCCATTCACAGACAGTAAATCCCACGGGGAAATAATGGGTAGGGAGTAAGGAGAAAGCAGCCATTAAGCCATTAAAGTTTAGTACGCATAACCTCTGTAATTGGTTTTATTACTTTTTAGCACACCAAAGTGTTGTCCATTTACCTGTTCTCTTCTCTTCCTATCTCTTTTTCCTTTGCACTTACAGAAAAAAAAAAAATCCAAACACATAGATAGGCCTGGGGGCAGTTTTGGTGGACACAAAGGAACAGTGAATCCAAATATGAAGTTGCATTGCTAGGAACAAAACTAGGAACTGTCATCGGTATACACTGGGAATTTTTCAGAGAAGAAAATCCAATTTCAATCCTATAGAACTCAATTATATAAATACCTGATAGATCTGAAAATTGGCTAGACACTGTAAAGACCAACCTGTTTCATATACCTTCTGCTTTCTCCACCAACTTTTCTGTGTAAATCTCCCATAATTAGTTTTTAAAAATTCAACAATGAATCTTTAACATTTTATAAAGAATAAGAGGGAAAAAATCACACTTTTGTGAAGACACAAAAGGGAGATTAGGAAAAATATAGGAAAACTGACTAGCCATCTCAGTAGAGTGTAAGAAGGTATGGTTATTAGGAAGCAGAATCAGAAACCCATAAGAAAAGAATTATTATCCTTTAGGGAAAATGCTGTAAAGAAACAGATAATGGAAGGAATAATGAAATTTTAAAATGCAGCAACCAACTGAAATCCAGAGAGCCAGAGAAAACAGATTTGACACTGAGAAATTGTATCAGTAATGTGGAAGACAAATATAATAAGTTCTCCTCAAATACTGAATGAGGGTGAAAAAAGTTCAGAATGATGGGGGAAAAGATGTTAGATATACAAGGCACAGGGTTGGGCACTATCAAATAATTTGAAGTACTCTTAGGGAGGAACAACTCATGCAAAAGTTTGAAAGAAAACAGTAAAAACTTATGGAGCTTTGGTGTTTTTTTTTTTGTTGTTGTTGTTGTTGTTTACATGCTAAAATCAGGCTAACCTTACACTTCTCTGCAGAAGCCAATAGAATAGCATCTACTGATTTTTTGAGAGGAAAGGCTATGGCCCCACTTTATTGTATAGGGCAAGGTTATGAATATTTTATGAATGAAGGCAATGGAAGTGACATAAATATGCAGGAGCTCAAAAAATGCCGCTCACAAAACTTGCTTAAAAAATTTACTTGAAGACATATGCATCCAACTGAGAAATTAATTCAATTAAGAATTATTTTGGGACATCTGGGTGGCTCAGTCAGTTGAGCATCCAACTTTGGCTCAGGTCATGATCTCATGGTTTGTGGGTTTGAGCTCCATGTTGGGCTCTGTGCAGACAACTCAGAGGCTGGAGTCTACTTTGGATTCTGTGTCACCCTTTCTTTCTCCCCTCCCCTACTCATGATCTGTCTCTCTCAAAAATGAATAAACATTAAAAAAAGACATATTTATAGTGTACTATGAATTGATATAATATATAATTATATTACATTATAAAATGTATATGATATAACATAATATAATAAATTAAGAATCTGAGAGTGGGCCTTGTCCTGCAAAAAGAACTTCTAACATTTCTCTTGGTTGGATGGAATCTCCAGCCTGGACAGAGCTTTACTCTGAAGTTCTTTTCTCAGCTTCTTTTAACCCCAGTCTTACTCAGATCCCAGAAAGTACTTTACTCACCTCAACCTCCCTCCTAAACCTCACAACTTAGATGAACTGTCTTACTTTCTTTGATGAAGACTGCGGGTGGCATAGTGCTGTTATCTTTTAGTACTTCTAAACAGTACAAAGCACTTCATTTGCATCCTTGGAAATCTGTCCTGGGAAAATTATTATATTATATTATATTATATTATATTATATTATATTATATTATATTGGATTTTTTCCATTAAAAAAATGATACATGCACACTCTAGAAAATGGCCAAAAAGACCCCAGTAAATTTCCTCTAAATCGACCACCCAGAAGGGATATTGTGTCTTTATTTTTTATATCTACTCTCATTTTCATAAGTCTTATTGTGGGAAGCAGAATTATGGTACCTATGACCATCATGCTCTGGTATCATGGTTAATTTTCCTTGCACATCTGAGTTGTATTATGAATAAATCTGTGATTCTACTATATGTTAAATAAAAGTGTAGGACACTAAATAGTGAAAATTATTGCATCTTAATTTTTATTGATATATAAATAACTAGAAGGAAAAATAGACTAGAAACATACTAGACCGTTAGTTACATGTATATGAAGATAATAAAAATGCTTATCTCTGGATGATGGTTTTAGAATAGTAATTTTCTACACAGCAATAGAAAGCAAATACATAAACTCTTACAATTAAAGAATAGACTTGCCAGCTAACCATATCTTGATTTCTTTTAATTTAAGCAGTTTACATTCAAACATCGAAGTCTATTCAAAATTTAGTTCTCCCTCAGACTTGGTCTAAAAATTGTGGATGACTGTTTTGTTTTTTGTTTTTGTTGTTTTGTTTTGGAAAATTACCATTTAGAATTTAAGTTTTCCCCCTTCCCTACCTCAAGAAAATATGTAGGTAAATGAAGATGGGCTTACTCTGTTTTCATGGCAACTGTGACAAAAGGATTCTTGATTCCTTGCAGTGTCTTTTGGATGCCTAGTGGTTTCTATCATGGGCTGACAGGAAACCACTGAAATGTCATGGACTCTCCGTGGCCTTTTGGGGTACTTCGAAAGTTTCCCTTTATTTTGAGTTCAGTTCAATATTAATACTTTCAACATTTTTGTTTAATTGTTTTATATTTAAAATTTTAATTATCTGGTGGGGTGCTTGGGTAGCTCAGTCAGTTAAGCTCTTGGTTTTGGCTCACGTCGTGAACCCATGGCTCCATGGGTTTTGAGCCCTACGTTTGACCCTGCGCTGGCAGCGCAGAACCTGCTTGGGATTCTCTCTTCCCCTCTGTCTGCCCCTCCCCAACTTGTACTGTCTGTCTCTCT